CAGCCTTAATTAATCATCGACCGTTCTTGTTGATTATGCATGCATGCACATGCTATTTCCCATTACTGGACTAATAAAGCTGTTAGTCTTACCACCCATCCAAACCGACGCACGTGTATAGAATCATTGTCCATGAGGGTTACTCTTTCTCCATTCCTTTTATGGTAGTTCATACACAAATGTAGACAAGTGCACGTGAACGTGCGTGAGTACGAAGAACTCACACTGCCATGTTGCAATTGCCAAACTCGTGGCTGATGAATTGTATGATGTATTTTGTCTTCACAGCCGGGTTAAACGTGACTAACTTGGTTTCGGACGTACGATTGACATATGAAGCCTCTCGTGTGATATGCAGTGCTTGGCTACGCTTGTTGCGAATGTAGACAAGGTAACTACCGGTCTATTACCCATCCACTTTGACTGTACTGGTTCTAGTAGACTGTTTACCGTCGCTGTGGGGACAGAGAGCGCCGTCTCCGGGATGTATGTATCAATTCCTTAATAGTTTAAAATAACTAACTTGGAGGAATGTCAAGCAGCATTCAGTGGTCGGATCAGCCGTATCTGACAAATAGTGTAATTCGACGCTTAGTTGTTATTCTTGTGTGATTTCTTGCACCTTAACATAACAACGTAAAAAACTGATTGTCTTTAGCTGAGGAGTGTACCATTAATTCCGCTTCCAAGTTTCTGCTAATCAAAATAAACAGATCCTAACATTTTTTACGGCTCACTTAACACTTGCTAATAGGATAAAAAGATGAAACTACTAGAAAGCTGCGAAAGAATAACGTACTAGCAGAAAATCCAGTGTTCCGTTATCGTGTAGTTTGCTATTCAAATGCATACTCTCGCTGAAATAACTTGCTGCATGTGTAATACTTTTATTAATAATTCAGTCCATGCCTACTGTTAAGTATACAGTGCTCGTAGACTATGTAGTAGTCATGTATCCTTGCAGTAGTATACTGATCGAAAACAATTTACTTCTAAAGTTAATTGCTCCCAAATCATGTCCTTTTAAGACTTTCAATGAATTGAGTGTACCGAAGTGGGGATGCCTTTTTGAATTTACACAATTCAGTAGAAATACTCCCCTTAAAAACCCTTACCATGTTATCGGTTCTCGCTTACAGCACTTGCACTCAAATGTGAGCGTAATACACACACACGTATGGCCTTAATGTGTACTGAAATACCACATTTGGTTGGCGAACTTTTAATTCGTGTCTGCCTGCATGACAAATATATGACTGTGTGCTTCAGTTTTGTTGATGCGTAAACACGGGCTTCGGGTCAGTTGATATCTCGAAAGTCTAAGTTATTGATGAAGGTTAATGATGATGGTTGCCCACTTTAGGATATAAGGCGGGATTTTCCAGAAGGACCAGTTGCTTCTTTTGACACTGGCACATTTGTTGGGCCTACTTCCCACAGTTAGATCAGCTACTTGCGTCTAGAATATTAATTGGACTGTACCTATGTGTGTAGGCTAATCAACAAGAGGTGCGCACGGGGATGCCAGAACAAAAGAGGCGCATAGCACGGCTGCCGAGAAGGGAGTTTGAATACAAGGCTCTATTAAGAAATTCGAAAGTAGCGATGCAAGCTACGGAGACAGGTCATGAAATCTGTTTGAACAATGTCGAGATTGATAGCAGGGGTTGCGGTCTACACACCGGAGGCTGCCTGTTTGGGAGGTGGAAATTACCAAGTCCCACAGCTGCGTACACAGGGTGGACGGGAAGCAGCTTCAGTAAGCAGCTGTCTTAACTCGACCAGTTTGAGGAGCGTCGGCGGACGGATCCGAGGCAGAGAGTGAGCATCAAACCACTCTCTCACCCATCACTAGCAAAGGCTTAGTGTGATGACCTCGTAACACGGACGGCTTGAGACCGTCCGATTCATCACTTTAAAGCTATTACCCTTATACCTACATCAAAGTAGTTACGGTCATCTAACCAGTTTGATATCAGCGCTACACTGCTGCGCCGGGTCTGAAGAAACTGTTGTATCAAAAATGTAACAATGTCCACAGATGAAATCAACAGGTTGTTTTCAAAGCATTCAGAAAACATATGTTATCGATCGGTTCCAAATGCTTTGAAGGATGTTGCATCGCTTCAAATCGTTCATAAGGATAGGATATAAGCCCACCTAAACGCGGCTGCGTATATCCATATTACTAAAAAGGGGAAGAGAATCGCTAGAATGTGGAATTGGGAATGACTATTCGCCACGCCAAGAATGCCGTTTGACTGTTTGTAATTGCGTCTCTTATTTTACTCTTAACTGCTGTGGCTAAGAAAGTTTGGTGATGATATCTAACACTCAGCTGGTGGCCAAAAGGATAATGCATCTCTCTTGTAATCCGGAGGTTACCGGTGCGAATCTGTGTAGGTGGGAACGGCCTTGGTCAACAGATGATGTTTCGTGGAAGCGAAGCACCGGTACGGTGTACTGGAGTACTGTTGCTGTAGTTCAGACTTTACACATCTTCCTCATGCCTTCCTAGGTGGTCAAATACATGTTTCAGCTAGAACCGTCCTACTGAGCACATCTGATCAGTAGACTTTTTCCCCTCGTAATTACAAATTTCAGGTAAGCGTTTGAAAACAGACCGTAGAAAAAGGAAACGGGATTGCCAAAATTTCAAAGATAAATATAAGGTTTCTTTCTGATCCTGTGGCTGTCAGGTTGTGTTCCGCCTCAATCATCCCAACTAGAGGGAAACAAAATCATTATTTATATGGTTTGTAGATACTGAAGCTTATTTCAAATTCTCGCTAAAAGAAAGTGTTATCATTTAATCGGCTGTAAAAATACCACTCTCCATGTTTTGTCGACTAACGTGGAGACATTGAGTAGCTTTAGGATTATTACATTTCTCTCAGTTGCTCTGGTAATCAACAAGATATACAGCCCTTCTGTTTCCTAAGAATCCACAGCATTCTTATCTGTAGGTTAAAAAATACGAACTCTAGCTAGGTAATATTGCAAAGTACTTGGTGGATATAGGTCCTTCCAAACTTCACTATTATATCCATCTGCTTTTAGGGCTGGGTTGAAAATTGGAGCCTTGGGATAAGGGCAACGCTTGGGAATAAGTAATGCATCATCATTGTACTTGTTAGCTGAAGGTGGAAAACCTCACAGCTATTGTGCTGCAATAGAAAAGAAAACAACTTACAACGCAGGCAGGCCGGCTGATTCAACAGGAACTGATGGACATCGTTCCGGAGAGCTAACAGCCAGTTATTGTGCCACAAAGTAGCCATATTATGTCTAATAATTGAGATCGCAGTTGGAGAGGAGGCTAATTGAGAGGGAGAGGACTGACTAAAGCAATGAATTGTAAAGCGCCTTCCAGGCTTTGTTTTGTCTACACACTCCGAACAGTAGTAGGAATTCGGCGCTCGTTGGAAACCCTTTTACTCTAAGATGCCAGAGCACAGCTTGTACATGATGGGTTCATATTTTGTTGCCTAGGCTGTTAGTCAACACAAACCACCTTTCATCGCCACACAATTAATCCTAGTTTCGTCTGCTGGTGTCATATGAATTGACATTTTCTGTTATAATTATTCTGTTAAATATTGTCAAACCACCAGATATGGTTTGAGTTAATAAAAAGATTGGGACTATCTTTCCCAACTATAACTGTTTCTACACTAGAAAGGTTAGTGTAAATAGTGTTTTCTCAGACTCTGGTATTTGCTGCTCATCGAAAAGGATGTTTACACACAAATTCGATGGGGTTTTATGGATAAGCAATGCTGTTTACTAAAGGTTGTTTGTGATAATAAATGTTTTACTGGTCTGAATAGTGCCTTCTCCTCTCATCCCACCGTTGCACACCCCACGTGTTGCAACCTTACGTGTGTGAATTTCGCGTGGGTTGGAGGTACTTTGTCTGATTGCAGATCAGAAGGTGTAGTGATTGTTGTGCAATCGGCCGCATGACATGAAATATACTAATCCCACCTTACTTAAGGTTGGCTTATTTAAAGACAAAAATTTGTTGATACCCACCTGTACTGGCATCGCGCCAGTTGCGGCCTCTGTATAATTTTGTCATGTGCTCTGTGTAAATATTTAATACTGAGAATGGAGAGCGAAATGATAAAGATCTGTGTTTCTCCGTCGTAGGCGGATCGGGCGTAAGCGCGGAATCACTTCGCTGATTCCTACGCTGTAGCAGCATACCTCAGCTGCACTTTATTTTATCCGAATGAGATACGTTCCCTATACTTGTAGTCGCAAATTGGGCGTCAAGGAATCTCTTAAATCCCGAAACCGATTTCGCCTCGACTATTGTCTCAGGCAACTTGTTCCATAGAGGGTGGGAGATGAGTCTTAAATCCGGTACCACTAGTTTGTACCAGTGTCCGCGTGTGCTGCTTGGTGCGCGAACGTGAAGCAGCGGCCTCAACATAGGGAAGTGGCCCAAGTGCAGATTTCGGTGCGTCATTATGAGATCAACTCGAAGTCGACGATATGACAGGGCATACAGCATTAGTCCCCTACATAGGATATCGTGCGACATTCCCCCTTAAACTGGGGATGAGACGGGTAGCTACATGCTGGACCCGTTCCAGACTCTACACCTCACTTATTTAGATCGGGCAAAGGCGCGTGAGTCGTACTCAAGCACCAGCCTTAACATTGAAAAGACGGGTGGCAATCTCTTCAGACCAGGTGCAGAAGCTGCATCTAAGTGCCCCAAGCAGGCGTAGTCCGTTTGCGTACAGTCTGTTTGTGTTGTCGACGAATTTCAGGTCACACCCTGAGAGCATGCCTAGACCCTTTACAGAAATGGTAGGATGCAGTGGGTTTCCGGCCAGGGTATACTCACGATCGATAGCTAACGCTACCGTAATCCGTAAAGTCGGTAAATTTTTCATCACTTCAGGTTTGTCAGTCGTAGACTGTTGTGTATGATGCACCTACGGTACTTTTGCATCACTTGTTCTTTACTACCTGCTTTGCTCTTTTAGACTTCAAGTGGCTCTACGTGACGCAGGATGGGACTCGAATGCCGGTGAAATTTGACTTCCACCTCGAGCACGTAATCACTGCAACCACAGATCACGATGCCAAGGAGCCATTCGTTTTGTCAAACTCCGGTCATGTTGGATCAGATACACTAAAGACGCTGGTTGAAACACATAAGCGCTTACTAGCGCTTGGTGTGCCCCACGGTGTAATCATTGAACATCATTTAATCATATGGGCAGCCAAGTTGGAGGACTCCGGTAGGTACATTGCAGTGGCTCGAACCCAGGCCGCTGGAGGCATGTCAGCGCTGACGGAGACTGAGTTCCAGCTAGAAGTTGAACGTAAGTCATTGCATACCTTAGGTACTAGTGTTGCCCAATCCGTCTTCACTTAAAATCCCGTTATCACGCTGTTCTAACTAGAATGAGTGAACATAGAGGTGCGCACGATCTGTTGCTAAGATGAAGTACTCAGCTACTTGCGCCTCCTTTTGCATCGACAGGTGGCATTTTTATCGAAAGCAACAGTACATTAATGATGATTATCTTTGGTTTAAAAAACCCTAACATTAATCGTCTTGATACTATAAGGACCAGATAAACCGCAACCGTTCATCATCTGGGATAAACCAACCACGTCGGGATGCGACAAAACAGGAAACAGTACTCTAACCAATTATTATAGTCAATGGGTTCTTATTATTACTTATAAACATAAGTTTAGAACCCATGTTTAGGTTAAGGTTTGAAAACGAATAGCACCTTTCGTTAGGAGCAGAACTCGAAAATGGATGATAGTACGTAACGCAGTATTGCGAGTGTACAGAGAAACTCCAGCACCAGAAACTGGGGACAACTACCTAGCCCAACTTAACCACTGCACTCAACTGTTAAGAGAAGACAAAACCGCCTATCAGCACAACATCACAAAAACCTTCAGTACTAACCACAAACTGCTGTACAATCAAGTCAATGAGAAATGTTAATGAGGTAGAACGGCTATTTGGTTCTTTTCATTATGGGAAAGGATATCGGGTCTGAAACTGATTATAACGCATCATTTTCATGAGAAAACAAGTATTCTGAGTTAAAAGCAACCTTCTTTTGATTCAAAGCTTCTACATGTTCCTCCAGAAGTTACGACGAAGGCGATGCAACCATCGGTTTCCTTTTCTTACCTGGTTCCAATACTCACTCACGATTAAAAACCTAAAGAAAGTCATGTTTACCGTTAGTGGTATTCTCTGAACGAGATGTCCGAGTTGTACGTGAGTACCAAAGGTAGGATACGAAGTAATATGCATAGGTAATTAACCACCATATTTATTACGACATGAACGCCAATGCGAGCACAGTGGAAGTCAAATCGGTCGATAATGCAACAAACAATACCAATAGTACGACTATGAGGATCTTTCACGCAAATAAAGCCCCAACTTGTGAAAGATGCGCATTTAGAAAGGGGTACCGACCCCAAGCACAGCATCTGCATCCAGCACCATCGCTTTTCTAGTACAGTTCTAACGTTTTTTGAACGAAAATTAGGGCTGTGTACAATGACATCTTTTTGTAATTTGAGCTAACTGGGTTTTTACTTGTATCGTACGGTATTACAGTATTGCGCTTACAAGTTTTACGTTTTTGTGCGCACTTTTCCCAACAGATGTTGTTCCTCATGCAAATATTTTCACACTTGAATCGCTGTATTGGATAACAAAGTTCTTAACACAAGCGGGGAACAGGAAATTGCTGAGACATCCACTATAGTTACACCCATTAAAGCATCAACTATTTGTTTACTGATTAACCGAATCGCTTAATTTCTCCTCATTGAAGCATGAACGTTCGGCCTACCTTAAATGAATTTACACCTGTGCTTGCACCCGCGTTTATTTAGCATTTGGATGTATCCCACATGTTCGGCTGCGTCAAGAGACAGAAATGCTGTTTTGCCTTCCTTGTGCCATTACCGTGGGTTCTATCTAGATGTATGTCAAAAATCCGACGGCACATTTCGAGTCGGTTATGATCTGAAATCAGCGGTATCATCTAGACACGCGCTAAGTTTTGTCCAAATAGCCTAAACTAAAGCTGCTGGAGTATAACAAACGCTCTTCCCATTCCGATTGAAAAAATCGTGTCTAGGCTCAGTACGATAAAAATTATGAGTAGAATAAGCCAGAACTTTTCAAACAGTAATATCCTGCTAGCATATAAGAAAATATATTTTAAGAAACTTGGACACCAGCTAAGAACGCTTGCACAATGAATCCGGCTGCGGATTATCTCTTTAAAATGCTACAATATTTTTGTTATTTTACTAAATACCCTGTCTAAACAAACGGCTCCCGTTCCACTCTTCAATTTTCCACTACAGAGTCGCACCGCTGGCCAATGCATCCCCTTCACTGCCCGGAGTTTGTACAGCCACTTTCAAAGCAATTAACTACTGACAGTGAAGGCAACAGTTACCTCGAATTGAACTGTGCAATTGCCGGCAATCCAACGCCACGGTGCCTTTTTTACCGTAACAATTCTCCCGTCCCAGTGGTCATCATGCCACTTCTGACCAGTGAACAAGACAAAACGGATATCTTCTTGAGTTCATTCTCCCGCAAATACACGGTGATCTCATCCCCATGCAGACAGATGGTTGCCGCTATGTCTGTGGGATATTTGCGAAGCTTAACACTGCGCATCAATCGTCCGGGTGCGGAGGATGTGGCGAATTACACTTGTCGTGCCTGGAATTTCCACGGACGTGTGGAGACCAGTGGCCGTATCACGGCTAGCGGTAAGCCTCGTTGGAACGGGTGCCTTCGTAGACTTGACATTTGCAATGAAGTCCATTCATTACTGTAATCTTTATGTATTAACACTTATGCTGTAAACGATGAGTTATATTTCATTTCGTAGCATCAACGCTTTCAGTAGTTCGTTCAACCTTCCAGCAAACAATCCCTAGCTCGTCCGTGATATAATTGTTTGCCAAGCCAACCGAATGGTCACCAATCATATTTAATCAATTCATTATCATAACTATTTGAAATTGTTTTTCACTATTTCTTTGAGTTCCGTCTTTATCTTTCAATATTAATGCATAGACTTAGAATCTAACCGCTTTGAACAAAGCAACTTGCCAGACCATCAGAACCAGTTGAAATCTAACGTTCCGAATGCAAAAACGGGTGCCCAGCGTATTCCTGAAAAGGTTAGTATGGCATTGTATTATTCATGCAACTTATTTATCTTATCGTGCATGCCTGTTTTAAGTAGAGGGAGTAGTACGCGAACAGTTTTGATGTTCCAATAGATCGAAAGAGATCAGCTTTCGTCTGCTTTGTGTAATTAAATCATCAAGTTAACGCATTTTGCACGCGCCATATATACGCACATCCTACTAATCATTCTAAGCTTTTGTAATCACACAGAGTTCGGTTGACTCGGCCTAATTAAGGACTATGTCTAGTTGGAGCAAGAGTTCCGCAACAATTTATTCAGAGAAGATGGTCACCGGTCGCCAATATCTTTTGTAAGGTCGATCAAAAGTAGTGGGGACAATTGCAGTAACTTCTGTTCTCTTCAATTGAGTATGCAATGAACTAATCAATGATCACAAGAATGATTATGGAATGGAAATAACCTTAAATGAGTTACATAGCACATAGTCCAATGCCTTTCGCGTCAAACATAATTCCTCCACTTGTAATGCTTACGTTCCTGTCGTGCTGTATTGTAGAAGCCTTCCAAATTTAGATGCCATGCTTGGCATTGTACGTTTCCTTCATTAGCTTGGTATCATACACCACGTCTTTTAGGTGCTATGTAGCGTTGTAACATCCGTCTATGTCATTGCTGGCAATTTAATCTCTAATCGTTTCATTTAACACTCCATGTAAAGCTTTATTTTATGTACCTAATTTAAAGTAATCACGTTAGGCTTACTTCTACGATGAGAGCGACTTATTTGCATTTCTGCCTGCCAGCCCGGTGACGGACGGTCACTACAAAATTCCCAAGACGTAAAAACCCCAGTGGTTCAAAACAAAAAGTTAGTTCTATAAATTTTTATGTACTCCACTGCATTCGTTCATCGATGCTAACACTCAATAAATCCTGGTTTTGATGAGCTAAAGTGCGATAGTGTTTGCATAAGAAAATTATGCAGCATTGCTAGTTTGATAGCTTCAATGTGTAAACCATCTACGTTCTTAATGTACACACATCACGTTTCATTTTTACTCAATTGTGCTTTAGCTTATCTCTCCAATCACCTGTTACGTATATCAACAAACCTTTGAACATTTGGCTAAAGTAACGTCCGAATCACCCTTTAAAGTTTAACATGGCTAATATTCGACGTGTCATGACAGCATCAATCGGATACAACATTGCATTACAAGAAGTGTCAGCATTATATTTTGGTGAAAACTACCGCGTTGCCTGCGCTGAACGTCAGAGCAGGAGCACTAAGAAATTACTGGTGTGTGATGGTCAGTCAAGTGGAAGTATGACTCAATTCAAATGACAGAGAACAAAAGAAACGTTTTTAGTAGTACTCCTTCACATCTTACCGACGCTTCCCTCTCACGGGATCACCCACAGTTGTGGGCAGGACGAGCGAAAGGCTTGGTTGCTTGAATCTACGTGGGTTGAAACCTGCGACCTGCCGATTACAAGATAGGCGCGTAATCCCTTCAGTCATCGATTCAATGCTTTTGGGAGTCTTTACTCTTACTTGAATTATCAAGGTAACTGCTTTCTGAAAACGTTTTCAGCTAATCCATCCGACTGTATTAGTGGCCCAAGTGACGGGTGAAACTATTTCGTTCGTTCGGTTGAATTGTTTTAGGTATAACTGAGTTGGCACATCCAATTTCGACGTCATGGGTTCCAGCCTTACCGTGCCTAGCTTCACTTGGTGGGCTTTGAACAAAGAGAAGACCAAAAACCACCGTGTAATTCGTTGAGATAAGAACTCAGAGGAGAGACACAAAGAAAGAACTCGTATATGCTGTCACTGGGCTCGAATTAAGCAAATCACATGAAGCACTAGTAAGATGTGCCGGACGACAAGGTTGGTAAGAATTCATAAGGAGGCAGCCGCAAAAGAAAAGTAGACAACCTGGTCAATTGTTTGTATCTTACAGGATATGTTTCTGACAGGTTTCAATATTTGGGTCTCCGTAAAGCAACTACTGGATTTTATATAAACCATTTCACTTCACTCGCAACAACCACACGCGGGACCAAAAGGACCTTGATGTAATGAACTTGAGCAGAAAAGCCACAAAGGAAGTACTTACGATGACTCGAGCTAATTCACCCAGGAAAATTTTTAACACAGGCAAGATTAGGTCTGATTTCCAAGGGAACGTAAGATTTCGGAGATAGTCCGTCGCAGTCCCCAATCAGTCAGCAGGCTTCGGCACATCTGGAAAAGCATCAGACAGCTGTTTGAACCTTCTGGACCTCGTCAGTGGTGCGCCTTCCTGGGACCCCTGTTGGGTTCCGACCCCAAAACTTCCGGATGCCAGCAGCATTTTCCCTCTAATCTGAGTGGCGTCCGTGGAATTGCAAACATATCCTTACTACTAATTATTGATGTAAGAGTTGCCTAAGCACAAACTCTGTTCACGCCATCAAACTTCTGCGGTTTTTACTGCAAAACGGCAATCTACTGCTCCCTCACGATTCATGCTGAAACTGCTTAGCATCTTAGCTAAATATATGTTAGACGGAAGAAAGTAAAATACCCAGTCTGCCAATCACTGCCTGCGGTCCAGCATCTTCTGCTTTACTAAATTCGGTTCATAGTGCCTAGGTTAGGGCTGACGAACCAGCTGAGACAGCAGTTGTTCCTACGTTCATGAAAAAATCCACTGAGCTGAGTGACAAAACGCGTCGATTGCTCATTCTATCATCCTCTCTTCTCCCATCGTATTAACTGAGCTATGAGTCTTGAAATTTCTGCTGTTGACAACTAGTCATATGGGTCCCTGTTTGGTGACAAAACTGTGTACTAACCTCAGGCTTTCCTTAGTTATCCAGCTTGTATTTACCCCTTCAATTGTCCGTATTCAACACCAGTCAATCAACTGCAGGTCACGTACCTCAGTGAAACATTGGTGGTCATTTAAATATCGACCACCCCTTAGCGTATGTGCTCAATTCATCAATTTTATAGAAGCAGAAAAGTGCCAAAATTTGAGGTTACGGGCTCATCACTACAACTCCAGACAAACGGTTTTATTAATTAAGTGATAAATGGTTCAGTGAACTGAACGTGATCAACCACCACCAATAGTCTGCTGTTAACAGGACCCTCAGAGACGGTAGCCTACGCGGCTTGATTCACCAGTAGATGCGTGCGCTCTTTGAAGCCTGTGCTAGCCTACTCACCGTACAAGAGATAGTATCAATGGATCACCAGTTCCAGCGAGCTTGCAGCTCTAATAAACGGAATCTTAATAAAAGACTAATGGTTTATTAGACACGTTAGTGGTTGATGAACTTAGGTGAACTAAGTGAAAGTATTTATTGGAAAGCGCACAACAGTTCCGATGTGGTTAAAATGTCAATCCTAAACTATCAGTCGTTTATGCCACTGCATCTCATTTTGTTGCCAAGTTATTCTCCTTCTCCGATGTTATTAACTTTTTTGCTTTCACAGTGAGGGGGACATTAAGTTAATCGCACTTAGGCACATGGATCCTACTTGAACAACTGAAAGGAAACAAGCAACGTTTGGTGCAATAATTAAACAAGCTGTGGAATCAAACTACTGACAGCAATAACTTTGTGTTCGTTCACTTTAAGGTTTCCATTAGTATGTGGTTGCGTTCTGATCTGGCTAGTGTAATGCATCGATTAGGTACATTGCCATAACGGAAGTGTTCTACTAAGCTGCAGGTATTGAAACCTACCGTTTGGCAGTCTATCAGGGTTTAAAACCTGCCCTTTAGCAGGTCATCAAGTTGAACAGCCGAACTTTCAAGTGCCCATTTCGAAAATGCTGTATTACTTAGTTTCGTTGCACATAACGATGGAAGCAAGAAGATTTTATCAAAGGAGCATTTCGGTTGAATATCCAAGCGAATGAGCTAAGAAATAGCATTACATGTGTCTTGCAGCTTGAAATATAAATGATAACTTGACTACCGCATTGTGGATGTAATTACATTTTCCTGCTTAACAAGTAAATTGGGTCAGTGCCATTAAGCGTTGTGAAGCGTATAGGCATATCGTTTCCGATGCGCATACTGGTTGGAGTTTTGCACATTGTAAGCGTGCAGTATGGCTATGGAGGCAAAATTTCCCGCGAGTGTGAGATTTCTCGTAGCTGCATAAACGCACTGATTGGTTCGGGTGTTGAGGCAGAAACCACGACAATATGGATAACTAATATAAATATAAAGTGCTAAAAGTAGGTAAATCATCCGAAGCGACTTTTTGCACAAATAAAACTTCAGTCGTGGACGATTTTTGATGACGGCCAAACAGTTTAATTTGCATTTTAAATACTTTATCTTCAGAAAACCTCCGGGGCATATGGCTAGCTCCACGTGTTAAACGAAGTAATTGTCCAAAACTTTGTAGAGTAAATGTGTTACTTCTCTTCCTTCCCGTTAAATCACTACTTCGAACAGAACAAAAGAGCTTTTTATGATAAGGCGTTAGGTGAGCACGGCTGTGGCAACCCAGTGATGTGCACAATAAATCATACGTTCTTATCTATAATACCCGCAGTCATTAACGAAGTATAAACAGTCACTTGGCCCCACACTACTTTGGATACATACAGAGGGCAAATGAAAGTAGCGTACAGAAGAAGTGTAGGTTTGTATCTAGACGGGATTCATTAACACCTGTTTGTCACTTTAAATAGTCTGAATTGTGAGCTGTTTCTAAACCCTCTGCACTGCAGCTGGCCACTTGGTCTCTGTCGCGTATTAGGGTTTGTGTTGCATGGTAAGAGAAAGCTCAATGGTTAGCTCATGTACTTTTAAATGAAAATGTGCACTATTTATAGGCGTCGAAGGTTACATGTGTGCATATCTAACTGTTTCTCATTACTACTTAATTTCATCTAATTATTATATGGAGAGCGTTTGGTTTGAGTGTACAAACGAAACCACGTTGCTGTACTCTGTGTATATAAATATTATTAACACAACTGCCTACTTCTACTTTCAGCCACAATTACGCCCAAGATAAGGTGAGGCAATGTTTCGCTTCTCGCCATTCACTATATTAGAAAGTCTATGCTGCAAGTGACTCCTACACTGCCGTCTGGAGGTGTAAAATTCTCAGGCTTCATATAGGAGCAACGATGCCAATTTTAGACGCAGCTTAAATAAGCCAGTTTGTAGATATCAATCCCTTCACTGCCGTTGATTATCGCCACCATAATAACTTGATAACTCTGAAGCCGTTCTTCCAACATTACATTCATCAAGCTGTATGCGCTCCATAAAACACATCTGTACAAAGGTAGGTCGGTAGAGTTCAATGTTTCACACAACTATTATGGTGCAAGCATTCTTTCACATTGGAGGAGATAAAAGCTAATTAGTAAGAAACTCGGGTTAATCGTCCTTCATCGTAATAAAACAATGCAATTCAATAGAAGCTTGTCAATTCCACTGATTCTGAGTTTTTCACAATCCATTCAATGCATGCACCTGGGACAATTGGCATTGGGAATGTGGTCACAGCTGTATCGATAACACAGCGATTCCATGGATATTTTGCATCTGGGATAGTGTCCGTCATTTCACCACCCGTCTCATTTAATGAGACGCAGCCATGTCCTCGAAATTTACCGATATGACTTACAGGTTTTTCAGCGGTCTGCATGTTTCGGCATCTAACTCGCATCTTTAAACTACCTAGTACACTGCAAGAATGAACCGATACACCAGCGATATGCACTAGCTTCTAACAATCACTGAACTGTTAGATCGGTTGCATCGTCTCTGGTACTTTCAATCAGTTACTCATCGACAGAGACTATATGCTATCAGCTTCCTCGTTACAAACTATAGCGCAGAAGGTTGTTGCTTTGCAGTCCCTGTTAGTGTAGAGAGCAGGTAAGTGACCAGTGGGTGTCGATTCGCTCACAATTCACTGTGATACTTGTGAACCCATCAATACTCACTAAGTACTATTTAGTAGAGGAGTTGCGGAATCCTCACGTGACCATCTATTTAATCGCGTACCTACGGGGTTTCTTCTCGCTTCAGGCCATAGTGCAGTAGCCGAAGCCGCACTTGTTTAATTAAACCATGGGGTGATTGTACGAAGGTATGGTAGACATGTCTGAAGAAACTGATTGAAAGACTGACTTGGGATTATGGGTTCTAAATTACAGGGCAGAAAAATCAAAATACGTGGCTTTAGAGCGTAATTAGCCGGCTGACTTTACCATGATTCGGTTCTGATTTATGTTTGATATTCCATGAGCCAACAACGGTATCAATGCAACGTCGAAAGATTAATCAGTTAGACTGAGTTCTTTTGTATTTAGTTGGCGTGCGCTCATGAACCAAGGTTGCATTGCGCTCTTCTTTGGTTGTACAAAGCTGACAATGCCTAATTAATTAAACTCGTAATTTGCTTTCTTGTCACCACGGCAATGCATTGGGTAGTAAATAACATTTTAAGGTTATGTATTATCAAGTTACAGTCTTTAACGTATAAGAGGAGGTAAGTTTGCTGATTAGTTTTAGGGAATAGTTTCCCTATTGCCTAACTAGTGAAAAGGTGTAAATGATTGAACTTGTCCATTTCTTCTGTCATGTGATAAAATCGCTGAAGCGTATGAAATCAATACTAATCCACACATTGTGAAAGACGGTAGCTACGTTCATCTTGTACACACATATCCTTTAGTCTACTGTATACAACACAGCAAGAAATTTTCTGTTTGAACACTTCACTTTGGACTCATTTCAATACGCGGAATTAACTTCTACACTTAATTATTCACTGCAGCAGATTGTATCGCCTATCCATTTGAATTATACCAAAACTCACTCTGAGTATCTCTCTTTTTCCTGTGGTTTCTCCGACCGTTCGTTTTTCTTTGTGCTTCCGGATTTGCATGCGTATACCGGATGTTGTTCTTATGTGTAATCCTTCAGTATGTGTCACTGTGTACCGCTTGTTGCTTACCATCCGAGTTAGGTGACCCAATGGTGAAAATGAAAGGACGATTTTGTGCTCATTCTTGCTCTTCGAAACCCATGACTGTATTGAAGCCGTCAGTGGAAGCTCGCGCGTGTCCATTTTGTTTGTGTCTGGGTCACAAAAACAAGCGTACAGCGCGCTCGTTGCCTCCCAATAGGAGGTGTCCAACCGATGAACCGGGGTCCAAAAATGAGGTACCGAAAATAGACTGGCAGAGAAGGTGTTGCTATGCTGCTAAGTTACTGGCCGGTAGAAAGTAGTTTGCATTCATGATTTCTATCCAATTCTTTAGATGCCACTGATCTTAACCTGATTGGGGAGTACTATTCGGATGAAGGCAACTAGTCGCAGTTTTGTTGGTTGGTTGTTGTTCCATTTAAATTTCGCAGGATACGTTGAACGACGGCATCTTTCGATATACGTGGTATCCTGACATGCAGCATTTTGGGCAAGACACCAGCCTCCAAACCTCAAGGCATATCATAAATGACGGACGACAGACTACCTTATTATGCTTGAAAACTCACTTTGCGGCGACTGGGAATTTCATGTCATATAGCCACATTTGAATGTTAAGAAAACCTCAGTATCTTACCACAGCACCTCTTCTGAAATGCGTAGACTTCGCTTGGCCGCTTAGCCCCAAGGTTTACAAACTAATAGCAAAACCCCTATGCCCACATTTAATAGTAGATCAATGGCTTTAGAAACCCTTGACAGCAGTGGTGATTATATGCAGTTTCCATAGCACCTAGTGAGAGGAAGGTATGACCTGGAGGCCAGACACTGTCACCTCCAAAGATAGTAACCTGCGTGACAATGGAAGACAGGTCATGCTATATCCCAGTTAGCCATCATCCGCCATGGCTCAGTGTTTTAACCTGCCAGTTGGTTGGTCTCAGCCTCTAGCGGTCTTGGGTTCGATCACCACCAAGTAGGGGACCGAGGGAATGCGCACCCCTGACGAGCCCCAATAGGGTGAAAAACACACCTGATGCTTTTCCGGATACTATTTGTGTTTTGTAGCTTATGAGTTGCTAGGACGAATACATTAAATTACAACTAAAACCTTGCTTCTGTGACAATAAGTCAAATTTTGAAAGAGTTTATCCTACCGGATGTAGTAACATTGCTTTTCTCTCATGACGACCCTTTTGGATCCCTGCCTTGAATATTACTAATTCAAATGTAAATCTGATAAGCTTTCATCCCAACAGTTCACAAGCTACATAGCACAGCGTAGTCCGGAAAAGCGCCAGACGCGTTTCGCCCTATTGGGGCTCGTCAGTGGCGCGTATTCCCTCGGTCCTCTAAGGAGGATCGAACCCGTGACTGCTAGAAGCAGATGCTAACTAGCCAGCAGCTTAAGCGACTGAGCCATGGGGGACGTTGGCTGGGCTACATAATTTGTAAACTAGCTGGGATATAGCACCACCTATCTACCACTGTCACTGACAGTGGTTAGCCTGCAAGGTGATGACGTCCTCTCACTAGACGCTATATCTATAGCATTTGAAACTAGGAGAGGCTTTTGATTTTATAGTACTCATTAGTGGGGATGAAAGCTTATCAGATTTACAACTAAAATCCTGCTACTAATGAGTACTTTAAATGTGTTAAGAACACCTGGGTTCTCCAAATCGGGAGAAACAAAGTTATAATCTCAAATTTGTTCCACAACTTGAAGCTCAGCGTAACTCAAAAATTGTCTTTTTCCATGCTGTAGTCACAGTTCCTTCTGCATTTAACAAAATTGTTTTGGTAAGACTATGATCAGCAGTCAAATACTTCTCACTTTGGTGCTGCACTTGTTTATGATGATCAGCTACGTTGTTTTGTCTGCTTATTATAAGTGAGGGAAAGTAGGACCGCATGAGTGACCTTTGGGGGATCCACTAAATTCAGTCAGTTTATCATCCATCCTTTTTGGAAAGAAGCTTCATTAGAATGTGACATTATGGCTAGATTGGCCTCTTTTGCAATACAAGCTTGACTGACCATGAATGCCCTTAATGTGTGGTTATGGCTCACCTCGCCTGGGGCTAATGTTCATCAGATTACAGTTCTTCAAGTGAACTGGGTTCACCTCCTTTGTAAAATAGTTTGAGCCAAATTAGGTGATGGCATAGCGAGCTGTTGGAAACAGGCATTCTAAAGAGATTCCACCACTTGCCCAGACAAAACGGCTTGAACCGTTTATCCTGCATGCCCGTCCACATTGGATGACATAAGCAGACACTCGTTGTATTCTATCATTGGGGTTGGGGGTTTATGGAACACTGTAAAATAAATATACGCGGTATCATTACAACATTTTTCTTTATTCGATGAAGGTACAATCGACGACTGGCAAACGTACCCCTACAGTGACAATTTTGTATGAACAAGTGAGTGCATGTATGTTTGCACTGACCTTGCCAGTAATCGTAGACAAAAGAGGCATAATTTTCAAACTAAATGGGGCGTGACCCTCTCTCCCCGTCTTTGTGTTCCCAAGTTGGACGTGCGTCCTTTTGATTAGGGAACACAGGGGGGCTTTTTGTGAAACTCAGAGAGAACCCAGCACTATGCGGTTTTTCGTCCGCGTGAACGATCGGTCATCCTCTTTGTTGGCACTGGCTTCACAGCTGCGGACGTACTGCTGCTACTGACATATATCCTGAGGATAAAGAAGACGCGACTGAATTTTGACATTGCTACCATATCTGACCAAGATTGCAGCATCACTCCTTTATGCAAACAATTTTTCTCCACTCAACTAGTCCTCTGCTCCTGTCGTCGCGCATTGTTTCCTGAAACCCGAGTGCAGTTTATATTCACGGTTTTTATGATTGCCACTATGTGGATAGCCGGCCACACATCTGCACTCGGATGATCATAACACACCGTGTCTCCGTTATTTACACTTAGTGAGGCTCGATAAAACAAATCGCGCTCACCAGCTTGAGCACCGAGGTCGAAATGAGACACGGATCATTAATGTGCGACCTCTAAGCAATCTGCCTCGTTCTTGTGTGAGGAGAGTGCGCGTTTCTTCGTGCCGAAACCTGCAACACCCTGTCGTTTCTTCCATCACTCAGGCACCATACTTGAAGAAAGCCAGATTGGTTGACTATAAGACTGTGGAATACACTCTTTGAGAAAGGTCGGAAGTATATTTGTTTTGCTCTTATTGCTCATTGGATACTAATTGTAAATTCTGTGCCATAAGCCCAGTACACTTTGTAACAAATGGCAAAAGATATCTTCCGCCTCTCACTTTTTCGTATCAGATGGTAACCAAATTCTAGGTAACCGTTCCGTGTTCAATACAGAGAGAGTATAATCTATCAACCACTAAGAAGGTCTTGAAACCCGGAGAGTGGGTGCATTTTTATGGAACGCTCTTTAGGTGTTTCGACACGGTTCGCTTGATACAACCAAAAAATTACCTGTACCATTATCAGATAAGAATTATGGTGTTCTGATTGAGGGAGTTCATTTATTTCGACACAAGTTGTATCCATTTTTCAGCCACAGAAGGGGAAATTCGTTGAAAGCAATGCTTTGAGTAAATGGGATCGGCCAGAAACTCCTTCGTATCCTCGGGTGAGTCCGAGGAAAAGTTTGAATGATTTTCCCATTAGTTCACTTAATCTACCACCTATGCCCAACACATTTTTATACTAACTTCAGATTTAAATCCAACGTCTTCTCTCATGTTCCGCCACCTCAGCTGTATCTTACCTCATCACCTTCAGTTCTGGCTCAGCTAGTGTCACCCGCTCAAACACTACAAGTAATAAAGGTTAATCAATCTTGCGAATGTTATATGGTGCCCCTGCCATGCAATGCACCCAGTAACCAATTTCTTTCTCATTTGAACTCCTCAGCTAGTGATAGCTGTGTGGGTATCGAGCAAGAGACGTTAAGATTACTGGGTGACGTTCTGCCCGTATGAGACTGAGCAACACGACAACCCGTGTCTCAACCATTAATGGCTTTATGTTTGGCTGTTGGCAGAGGCTTTTGTGAAAATTGGCTAAGTTTCACATTCTTGTTTTGGAAAGTTATTTGCCTTGAAGTGAATTTCTTTCAGTTGGGTTGCTATACTTCTGTCTGAAGCTGTTAAGCGTTAAACATTCCCAAGTAACCGCGATGGGATTGTGTGAAACCCAATCAGCAAACTTTCCACTTCAATCCGGATGCCTTCCACTTTACTGAAAATGACCCATCAACGATGTTCACAGATAAGGTCAAACTTTCGTTTGATTCTTATCCCTAGTGAAGCTGGGGGCTGGATAGTACCAGTGGAGTAGCGGCCATGTATAACATTTATTCTCATCCTGAATCGCTTGTCTAAGTTAGGTGTCACTGGTAACTCTACACAACTTTAGCTCATCTCCGAAAATATAGAAACCGAATTTTTATAGGTAATGACTAACCTTGCTGTAGAAACTTAGTCTTTGTCTCAGACCCCAAGCCTACGACTGGGACTATCGTTACTAAGCGTCAGATCAGTGGACTTTGAGGTTGGTAATGCACAGACCGTCAAAGAGGGACCGGACTTCGACTCGAATAATAAATAGTAAGGATAATAATGATGCGCCGATATTACGAATGATCGTACAACATCTGTTTTGTCGTTGCGGCCATCTTTCGGAGAGTTGGTGGGAACAAACTGCAAAGAAATAATGCGGGTACATGTGAGCCGTCATGCGGATATCGATAAAACGCAAAAGGCTCAGTTGATTTTTGGGTGTTTGCACTCATTAGCAACAGTTTGTCCAGCTAACTCTCTTATGGCATCAAATCCAGACTACCGGAGTAATGACCTATTCTTACTATTAATTATATGAGTGGCAAGAAATGAACTTTGTAGGTCCTAGAATTGCAGTAAAGTTGCAGCAGTTTTGAACCACTCCAATGGTCAATCCAAATATCCCTCGGGGATGGGGTTCATTTCAAGTAGAGTTTCCAAGCGCTAAGCCACCGCAAGCGAATTTAAAACTCTGCCCAACACAACCTAAACGACAAGCGCCAATTTGTGCTCAGCAGCTGGTAAAGAACCGCCCTGATATATTTTACTGTATCGACTACATGCGCCTCCGTAGCTCTCCAAACTGCTTACAGGAGATGAAAACCCTATCACTTTTTTCTACAGACTGACCGAAATGGCAACTCAGTGATTATCAGCCGTCCTGTAGCAAGTCCCCAAACACAAGTAAGTCCAAACTCTGGATTCACCCATCTCTTCCACCGTCATGTAACGAACTCGAGGTTTCTACACTCAAACTATAAGTAGTCGATTATTCTTTTGTGGCAAGCTGTTGCATACTCGTACTGGGTTCACAAGACTGCTTCCTCATTCTCGAATAGTCTCAGTTCGCACACTTTTTTAAAATGGTTTTTCCTTTCTGAGCACTATCTCTGTAGCTATGAGCTCTCCACTGTAAAACACTGTGCATAATGAGAGTAGAAGGTTGTAGGCTCAGGATAGATTGATCATATCAGACAGTAAGTTAACCTCAAATTCGATCCATTTAGATAAATGTGATTCGAAATGCATGGTTAGAAAGATGGGTGATGGATCGCTGCCAGAAAGGTAGGTGGAACGAGGACCTGGGCTCTGTATTCTAATAATCAATTAACAAATATAAATAACATTATACGGGTTAAGAATCACCACCTTCAAGTCCACTGAGTGACCTGGTGGGTCATCGAAAAATGTGGGTGAAAAGATGCAGTTAGCACTTTTACTGGCAAAAGAATGGATTTTTCGTTTTTAAAATAGTAGCGCTGCACTCCGCGCAGTTTCACATACCTAGTAGGCGACAACTAATATATTACATGTATCTCCCGGGTGTATGACTGAGCTCCAATGCTAACTAAGAAAATGGCAGTCATCATCATCATCATCATCATCAACAGCAGTACATCAGCCATTTGAACTGATGCTTCGCTGTCATACAACCATGAGGACCTATGAAATAAAGAAAAAGAAGAGGGAGACAACGGAGACTTACCTGAAAATCTTAATGCCCTAAACAAACATTCAGGGTCAAGGTGCATAGATCTTGTGTAGACAACATTCCGTCACAAACAGCTGGCTATCGTGCAAAGATAAGGCGGCATCGGCGAGACAGCTTCCTTGCGGCTTTCACTGCCCCACGTCATAATCAGCCATTACCACGCAGATAACTCAGCACCAAACCCACTTTAAACAGGCAATCCGATTAGGAGACGGCAGCAGACGCGCCACTGGTGTCTACTGTGAACCATGCCCTGTAAAGTCTCGAGCCAAGCACAAGGCGAGTCACGTGGACTCCAGCCCGGATGAAAGGACGGACCAACGGCACCCAGTTTGGTCGTCAATGACTTAATTTCCCGCTGCCAAGTCAACTTCTGACCACCCCGAGCCTTGCGTCACCCTACACCTGGAAGACTAAACAAGGCCCTCCTAGGTAAGCGGTGATCAGGCATACGTAGCACGTGCCCAAGCCAACGCAACTTATTCAGTGCTATCTTTTGTTCTAGGGAGCTAGCATGATTATCACCACCCAGAACTCGCCTATGCACATCATCGTTGCGGACACGCTGGTGCCATCCGACACCAGCAATGCTTCGCAGACAACGATGATCAAAGACTTGAAGGCGCCTCAGATCTTCAGACTGAAGGGGCCAAGTCTCACTACCATAGAGCAGAACGGCCCTCACTGTGGCCTTGTATACACGGCCTTTCAGACGAAGGGAAACTCCTTTCTGTCGCCAAAGATGTCGCAGGTTCAAGAAGGTAGCTCTGGCTTTTCCAACTCGTGAGCTGACGTCAGTTTCTATGCGCCCAGCATTGCTAATGCAGCTGCCAAGATAAGTGAAATGATCAATCACCTCGAGTTCTTCGTTAGCAAGCGTTAAGGGGTCATCAAGTGGCTGGTGGTCCTGCAGCAACAATTTGCACATTGAAGGTGCGAAGTGCATACCAAATAATGGGACCACTCTGGACAGGCTATTCAGGGTTGATTGTGCCGCCCCAAAATCGTCGAAAAGCAAGACGATATTGTCCGCATAATCTAGATCAACTAACCTTTCACCAGGCAGCACTTCAACGCCTACATCGTGAGATTCCGCAAGGGAACACTCCATGATAGAATCCACGAGGAAATTGAACAGGAATGGGGAAATCGGACAACACAGACAAACGCCCCTTGTGGTCGGAAAGCTATCCGATAGACCAACGTAGACCTTGACGTGGCCTGTAGTGTTCGAGTATAGAGCACGAAGGATGTTCCCATATTTCGTCGGAACAAATTTCTGAGCAAGTATTTCGAACAGAATCGATCGATCGACTGAAACGAATGCACTCTTGAAATCGAGGAACACAGCTATTGTCGAACTGCGGTTTGCGTGGCGCTGCTCCAACCCCTGCCGCAAACTGAATGTATGATCTATACAGCGACGCCCTGGACACAAACCGGCCTGCTCTTCCCAAATCCGAGATTCCCGCTCTGCAGTGTGGCGACGAACAATGATCGAGGCCAATAATTTTGTCACAACTGGAGTTAGGCTAATACCCCTGTGATTAGAACAGTCTGTGCAACTGCCGTTCTTGTATATTGCCACTATAATCGATTCGCTCCAATTAGCCGGGACACTCCCTTCCAGATACATTCGAATAAGGAGGTCAGTGCTTTGCAGAGGACTTCATCTCCATCCTTAAATAGTGCAGGTGTGAGGGAATCCGGGCCAGCTGCACGGAAACATTAAGGGCTGTGATCGCATTTCGGACCTCGGCCTCCGACGGAGGCTCTAAACTAATCTTCCATGGCTCGTCCTTTATCACCTGAGTAGGAAGAGGTCCGGTAGCAGGGAGCCAGCTGAACTAATCTTGAAAGTGTTCCGCCAAACGAGCCATACGGCGCTCCTTATTGTGTATCAGCGCACCCGCGCTGTCTCTGATTGTCTCACTGACGTCTGGTTTGCTGGGACCAGTGGTGCGGATTAGCTGAAAGAGCTTCCGGTAATTGCCTACTGCTCTTGCCTCCTCCATTTCTTGAGCCCTACTGGTCCACTAGGCTTCCTTGTCAGCACGTAGGCTCCGCTTTAGTTCACGCCTAATAGCCCGTCTGGTCACATTGTGTTCAGAGCCAGCCGGGAGATGTCTCCTAGATTCCAACACGTTCATCGACCTCTCGGATATCCAGTGACTGGTGCGGTGACGATAGATAGTGTCACAAGCAGATGCTCTTGCGTCGTGCATGGCGGCCGAGATCCTATTCCACTAAAGCTCAACGTCATTAGGACAAGACAGCGGAATTTCAGTATACAGTGCTTCTTGATAGGCTTGCCTGACCGAGGACTGAGACAATTTCTCCGTTGCCAATCGTAGGTGAAACTTGGTGCGACTCCCGGTAAAGATCACGGGGAATGGACAGCGTACCAAGGCATGATCAGTCGACGCAGGTACTCCAGTATGAGCGGCAATTCAGGATGGAACCACACCACCTGTAACTTACGGCTCTGTGGTCAATTTGGGTCCATCGCTGGCCAGCTACAGGAGGATGCCAAGTGGTACTTCGGCGCCCACTGTGTCTAAAAGCAGTGATACTAACAAACAACTGGTGCTCCGCACACAGTTGCCGCAGACACTCGCCGTTGTCAGTCCGTTCGGAGTTAAGTCCAAAATTACCACCTAACTGAGCTTCTGAAGAGCTCAGACGTCCTACTTGTGCGTTCATGTTCCCTACAAGTACTATAATATCTGGACTAGTAGCACTGCGTAGTAGCGCGTTCATTTCGTGATGGAACGTGTCCTTGATAGCATTAGAACTGCAGTCGGTGGGAGCAGAGGCGGAAATCACAAACAGACAGCGTTTTGTACTACTTCGTGAATCAACCTTAGCTGATGTCGTCAAACGGGCTGCAAATAAACGGCTGTTCACCGGATTCCAATCAACCAACGATGGCTCAACCTTGGAGCTTAGAATAATACCTACAGCAGTTTGCCCAGTGAGTGCTGCATCGGCGTCTCCAGATGCGTGCAACCAAGAACGAGAGGATAAGCTGGGTGCAGTTAATTCAGTAACCCCATTAGGGTCATTGATCCTAGTCTCGGACACACAACGCAGATCGATACCCAGTGTGTCCAAGGTGCGTGCAAGTGCAGCCAGTTGACCTATTTGTCTTAGAGTGCGAACGTTGAATTTCGCCATGGAAATGGGACAGTGTGGCCTTATAAGGACTGTTGTTGATAGGCGTCCGGTGTGTTTCGCGAGGTGGCTGCAGATGGTTCTACTCTACTGGCACTTTGGTTGCTGTCAATAAGACTGGGAATTATAGAAGGAAGATTAGAAATGGTGGTCGGGAGGGGAGTAAGAGAAACAGGTGGAAAAGCAAGGAGGAAGTCGCCAGCAGTAGCATCATTTTACTTATCAGCCCTTTTGTATGCAGCAGATGAAGCGACCCTTGATAATCTGCGCGACGGCCGATGCAGGATGAAGTTTATGTTGGAAGAAAATGTCATGGTTGTATGTGGGCTGAGACACTGCCAGGGCGCCCAGACCTAGACAGGAGGACGATTATGATCCTCATCCAAAGCCTTTGGCTTAAGAGCCTGTACGCAAGGCAGCGGGGAGGTGGCAATGATTTAGTTTTACAGAAATGGACGCCATCCTATTTCAAACCCCCAACCTGGAGGACCAGGAGACTGAGTTTGTCTGACCTCCCACCATTGACCAACCTGGTAGGAGTAGCTCTCAAGATGCCCGGAGGCATCACCCAGTATAGCTCAATGGGTCAACGAGGTACGCAAACCGTCGCACCACGTTAAGGTCCAGTCTCGTTGCGACGGAGAAAATGGCAATGTTTGCGTATGTCTTTCATCCGTCTTTTAAGTATGGCTTGTGTAGTTGCGAAAAGACCGATTCAGGGTGTGCGTTCCAGGAGTGACACACGCGAATAATAAAGAAATTTCTAAGGCACTACAGCCGGTTGTAGTGTTCTACTAGTTTCAAGTGATAATCTCTCAAGTTTTTTCTTAGTGCTGAGTTGCGGTAGATAGCGGCACACGTGATTAGATTGTGCTGTCAAATGTGACTTTATCATGTCGTTTGCTATTCAGCGATAACTTTCGCTGAAAACTCCCAAACATTCTAGCCTTTTCTCGTGTGACAGATTGCGTATTCCACTGATGTATTAGAAACCCGACGTCGATGTTGGTTAGATGTA